ATGCTTGAAAGACTTTAGAAACTTGAGAAGCTGCTCACCCCTTCCTATGGAGATTCCTACAAGGATAAGGTTGCGCTCAGACTCATCCTCTCTTCCTTCGTCATGGTATCTGGATTCTACCTTAATCACTCCATCATCCTGCCAGCCCTGTCTCATTTCTTATACTTGAACGCTCCCTCCTCTCAAGCTCAGTGTGAACCACCAGTCTCGATGCTTTATCTGGTCCGGGCTCTAGCCCTTAAATTGTCCGTCTGGCTTTGTGTTTCATTTGACCCTAATACACTGGGTCGCACTGTCTAAAGGAGAATTATGTCCCCTCCGATGTCTGAGTGCATTTCTCATTTCTTACTGCTGCTCCTGAGCAGATCTGTAACTTCAAGGTTAAGATAAGACACATTCCATCAGAACTATGTCGTCATCCTTGCCAGCTTCTGATCTGTGACTGTCCAGGAGATTTACAAGACACTTGCATGCCATTCTTTACAGAATATTATGGTTGGACTCTGACTCCTGGCATCACGCCCAATTTGATTTGTCAGCTGTTACAAAACGCATTTCCCAAAGAGAAAAGGACCTTAGCTGTGTGCCCTTTAGGCAGTTCTTAAAGAGTGGGAAGGAGGAAATTGATCTGACATTATTTCCGGATGTTTCAGGGAGGGAATACACACCAGAATTTTTTGTCCTTTTCCTTGTTGGTTTCATTTTTTTTCTCCCTAAAAGATTTCACTAAAATATTAACGTTGCTGTCATTCTTTCCTGTCCTTTGTCTCTTCATAGAATTACTGTTAGTCTTTTCATACTGCCACTCTAATGCTTTTCTGAGCTTTAAGAAGTAAAAATAAGTGTTTTACCCTTAAGAGAGAATGTACCTGGGGTGCCTGGGTGGGTCAGTAATTAAGCAGACCTTGGTTTTGGCTCAGGTCATTATCTCACGGTTCATAGGTTTGAGCCCTGAGTTGGGCGCTGCGCTGACAGCTGCAGAGCCTGCTTGGGATTCTCTGTCTCCCTCCCTCTCTACCCCTCCGTCGCTCGCTCTCTCTCTCTCTCTCTCTCTCTCTCTCTCTCGCTCTCGAAATACATAAGCATTAAAAAAAAAAAAGTAACCCTGCGTATTCTCTGAAGCTTTATTAGTTTACTGGTGCCTCGTTAACAAAGAGACTTCTTTCTTGCTGTCTACCAACATTTTGAGCTGTGGGAGTTACTATATGCGATAGGGTTTAACAGCTTAGGAATTTGGAAGGTCGCATATTTCCTGCTGCTGTTGTATTTGGCCCTATATTTTTACAAAAGCTTCTCTTTGGGGGACTCACCATCTCTTTGGTCTCTATATAAACTCACTGTTTCCCTAGGAGGTAGGCAGTGGGGATTTATTTGGCCCATTTTAGTGATTCTGGGGTTGGACCTCAGTTATTTACTCAGTATCACACATGGCAAGTTAATCACAGAATCAGAATCCTGATCTAATTCCTTTGGCATTGTTTTCATATCCCTTAACTACAAAAAGTTTTAGAAAGTTAGGAAGAGTCCAAAAAGGCAGTTTTTACTCAGATATCCTGACGGGTCCATTCAAAGTGAGGAAATCTGTAGTTAAAAACTGTCAATTCTGAAACCCTGTAATTTCTTCTGTTTGATAACCAAAATAATCACTGTTCTCTGCTTTTTCCACACTTGGGTTCTTTGCTTTTTTTTTTCTTTTTTAATTGTTTTAAATGTTTTATTTATTTCTGAGAGAGAGACAGGGTGAGCAGGGGAGGCTAGGAGAGAAAGGGAGATACAGAATCTGAAGCAGCCTCCAGGCTCTGAGCTGGCTGTCAGTAAGTACAGAGCCCATCGCGGGGCTCGAACCCATGAATTGTGAGATCATGACCTGAGCCGAAGTCGGACGCTTAACCGACTGAACCACCCAGGTGCCCTGGGTTCTTTGCTTTTGACTTGTCCCTTTTTCTTACTCTCCTATGGCAGCAGTCCCTGCCTTTAAAGCCCCTTATTGTAAAGCAGAGCGGGGCTTTGGGGCTCTCCAAAGTGTTCTCTAGGGGCAGGAGAAAGGCCAGTTTATGGGACTGCAAGTTTCTAAGTATTTATTTTATCTCAGCCCTCCTTTTCTCGACTGTTAGGGATTATTGATAGAGTTTTAAATTATGATATACTAATGCTTTGGGTGGGTCGCATTTATTCCAAAATTTGTTTTGTAAAACTGTTATAAGAACAACAAATGAAAAATGGTTTTAATTTAACAATAATGGTGAGGATGGACTTTTAAAACTACTCCTTTTTTAAGAACTAAAGGACTAAATTTTTTTCTACCTATGATTTCAGTTGATAGGTTCTTTGATAATGCTTCAAGTGTCTGGATTCTGTTTCTGTAGCATTCTCCCAAAGAAGGCAAGTTGTATAGTATCTTGAAATACTTGCCTTCTCCCCCTCTCTTATCCCCCATCCCCCAAGCAATTTAAATTAACTGTTCAGTGACAGATGGTAGAAAAGGCCTTGTTTAAAGTGCTTCTGGTGGGCTGGGTTAGGGGTGGGTGGTTTGTACTGATTCTCTGTTGTAGAAGGACCTAGCCTTTCCCCTCCCCCTTCCATTTGAGCAATAATCCTGTTAGATGATCTTAAAATGCTATTGATTAATTCCCAGTGCTCTTGGAGGAATAAGTACAAGTTTGGGGTTTAAAACCCAAGAACCAGTTCCCTTGAGCTCTGAATGCCTTAGCTTTGAGGCCAAGGGAGTACCTTCCAACTTCTCCACCCAGTCTTCACTGAAAAGGAAAGTTAAGCCTTTTAACTTTTCCGTTTGCTCCCCCCCCTTAGTCTAGTACTGCTGCCAGTTGCCATGGCAACGGGCTGGGACAGCTGCGCAGTGGCTCCCAGGCAGCTGGGTGGGGGCGGGGGAGCTGCCAGCCCGCCAAGCCCCAGACCTGGGAGGGGAGGCCCCTCCTGTTAGCCCAGAGGGAAAGAAAGAACTGGGGCGATCCGGTAGGTAAAGGAGGGAACCCCCATTCATCTTCTACCTTTGGGGCTCCTCTTCTGCATGAAGGTATAAAGGCAGATTTTCCTCTTTCCTCCCTCAAACTGAAGAACACATATATGTAAATCCTTGTTTTTCCTGGTGAGGCAGGGGAGGCCATAGCCACAATGCTTAACTGCATGCATCTAACCCGTGGCTGGTTTTAACCCCAGCGCTCTGACCTAAACTGCTCAGCTCCCGGAAATTCCAAGGTGAGTGGGGGTGGGGGTGGGGTACTCTCCCTGGAATATGACATTTCCTGTCTCTGGTGAGGTCGGAGGCTGTTTTTATTTTAAATAAGATTTTTTTTTTTCTTAAAGCTTAGGACTCTCTTCAAAATTCATGGAAAAATTATTTTGAAGCTCCTGTCTACATTCTCCCCCTGCCAGCCCCTCTTCCAAATAAAGTACTTTAATAAAAACTTACTTTTATTACAGGGCTGTAATGGGTACAGACAAGTTTTTTGGGTGGGCAGCCCTATTGCTCATAGGTTCTGGAGACATGGTTTCCAACTAGATGTTCTTGGAATAATTCCTTAAGTTTTGCTTACAAGGTAGATTGCTAAATGCAACTTTTTATGCTACTTGACTTGAACAAAATTCTGGGATTAGTGGCCTTCCTTGTTCCTGGGAGTCGTCTTCTAGTCGGGATGGAAATATTTTTAGAAAGAAAATCTTTTTAAGATTGCAGAAAAAGAAAAATGGAGTTCAGCTAAGAAAACAATTCCCTGCTACTCTATAATCCAGACTGTAGGCATCATTTAACATGGTTAGAGAAGAATTCTTAAAGATGATTATGGAAACAACAACGTGGGAACTTAAAAAACTAGATTCTGTGTTGAGTACCCCCTAGTTGTGCATATTTCTGAGCTTAACTCAATTTCCATTTGTGTTGCCTTGGTTCAGCTTTCCTTGGGCCTATGAATGGTTCCTCTGTGTTTTGAGGCTTCATGTTGATGTGCGTCTGGGGCCAGAGTTTTTTCCTCCTCTTCTGCCTTTGGCCCATAGTCAACTCCAGTTAAGAGTGGTACCTCCTTAACTACTTGGAATAGTTGAGCCTTGAGAATTCCTGAACAATCCAGTAACAAATTTTTATTTTATGGAATAAAATTCTCATTTTCTTCCTCCCTTTCTCTCATCCCCAGATGAAAAAGGAGGCTTAGTGTATCTGAGATGCCAGCCTCAGGGTTGTGAGCTGATGGATGTTCTGTAGGAACAAGCTCAATTTGTTTAAGGGAGAGGTGTACCAAGTCACCGAAGACAGTGTCAAAAGATGCTTGACCCAGCCTTTTTTGTGTGCTGCTAAGAGGCTAGTCAGGATCCTCAGAGCAGAGGAAGGCTTACATTTTATGGCTTTTCTTTTTTCATTTGTATAAAGAACCTTATTCACCTTGTAGGGAAAGATTTTAATTCTGTCCCTTTTCTTTTAAGCTGCTGGTTTTCCACATTTCTTTGAGATCCTGGCTTGTAAACAGTTAAAGAAGTAACCAGGAGTAACACACCACACCACTTGTCTTTCAGAATCTGAAAATAAAGGGGTTAGACAGTTGTGTCTAATAACAATTTTAGTCTTGTGAGCTGAAGAGAAAGTTGTGGTTGGGAAAGTGGGGATTGACCCAGTTTTTACTTATAATTCTCAGGACTCATCTGTAGAATGCTTCAAGACCCAAGAGAAGAGTACAAATACCCCCTGCATTCCATCAAGAAGAGACAAAGGTTTTTGGGAGTGTTTCGTTTTCTTAATTTTTAGTTTATTTATTTTGAGAGAAAGTGAATATGAGCCGGAGAGGGGCAGAGAGAGAGGGAGAGAAACCCAGACAGGCTCTGCACTGACAGTGCAGAGCTCGACTTGGGGCTCAATTCCACAAACTGTGAGATTATGACCAGAGCCAAATCAAGAGTCGGATGCTTAACTGAGCCACCCCGGCACCCCCAAGAAGTGACAAGTTTTAACTCCTTGTATGGATTCTGACCATTTTGTCCTTCCTTATTTGCAGGAACCCGGTGGCCTTAGTCCTTCAGGTGGAACAGCTTGCAACATGGGAAAGAAAACCAAGCGGACAGCTGACAGTTCTTCTTCAGAGGATGAGGAGGAGTATGTCGTGGAGAAGGTGCTAGACAGGCGTGTAGTTAAGGGGCAAGTGGAATATCTACTGAAGTGGAAAGGCTTTTCTGAGTAAGTGCCTTCTTTTAGGCCTTAGGACTTTGCAGAGGTGGATACCTTTGGTTTCTTTCCCCATGAGCCACCGCCATCTTTGTCTTTTCCTCTCTTCACCTGCACTCCTAAGAGTCAGAAGACACAGCAGTAAACTCAGCAGAGTCTCTCCCTTGATATTGGTGTTCTAGTGATAATGGTTTTGAGAGATGGTCTAGTGAATTAGTTAGAGGTGTAGATGTGGAGCCAGATTGCGGAGGTCCAGATTCTTGCTCCACAATTTAAGAGCTGGGTGACCTTAGTTTTAGTTCCTTATTCTTTCTCCTCCTCAATTAAATAGGAGTGGGAAATAGTACTTGTCGTAGAGATGCTGGGTAGATGTAGAGCCTAACAAGTATGTTCAGTGTAAGTATAAACTGTTACTGGGGCGCCAGACTGGATCCATTGGGACAGCATGTGACTCTTTGAGCCCCATGTTGGGTGTAGAGATTACTTAAAAGTAAAAAATTTTTTTTTGTTTTTTAAGTATAAACTGGGGTGCCTCGGTGGCTCAGTCAGTTAACCGTCCGACTGTTGATTTTGGCTCAGGTCATGATCTCAGAGTTTGTGAGCCCGAGCCCGGAGTTGGACTCTGCACTGACAATGTGGGGCCTGCTTGGGATTCTCTCTCTTTCTCTCTTTCCCCCTTCATTCCTCTCCCTCCCTCTCCCTCCCTCTCCCTCCCTCTTCCTCCCTCTTCCTCTCCCTCCCTCTCCCTCGCCCCCATGCTCACAACCTCTCTCAAAAATAAACATTAAAAAGTAAATAAATAAAAACTGTTATTGTTACTATTCTTTTGAATATAACTGATCTAAAATGTATATATACAGTTAGGCAGAAGCTGTCTATCCCATAGGCTCTAGTTTCCCAAAATGATCCTTGAATAACAGAAGTGACCTAGGATGAAGGATTTATCTTAATGAGAAAGTTAAATCTGAGGCCACATTCCCCCCCAGCCAATTTTTTTTTTTTTAAATTTCAAATGTACAGCTGAAGCAAAAGAAATTGAGTGAACACTCAGATACATACTGCCTAGTTTCTGCGGTTAATATTTTAATATAGTCTATCAGTCTGGCTTGTTTTGTTTTTGAAGACCTGAAACTCTGCCCCCCCCCACCTTTTTTTTTTTTTAATCAATTAGCTTTAAGAATGATACTGAAGTGGGGCACCTGGATGGCCCCAGTCAGTTAAGTGTCCCAACTCTTGACTTGGGCTCAGGTCATCATCATCTCATGGCCATGAGATGGAGCCCTGGGTCAGGTTCTACTCTCTTGAGTGTAGGGCCTGCTTGGAATTTTCTCTCTCCCTCTCTCTCTGCCCTTCCCCTGCTCACACTTACTGTCTCTCTCTCTCTCTCTCTCTTTCTCAAAATAAACACTACAGAAAAAATGATACTGAGGTATAATATATCTGTTACCATATCAATATCTGATATGATATTGATTAGAATGTTAGGAAGTATCTGGCTTTATGCTGAAGTGCTAACGGAGATTATTTTTCTTTGGAAGAAAAAGATCTAGATGTATATTGAAGCACAGAAGAGGCAGCTTGAAAGGTGAAGTATGTGAGACTATAATCATTAGACATTTTGCCTCAGTTTCTGACTAATTCCCTTCCCAGGATACCTGATAAGAAAGAAGGTTATTTCTCAGAACCCCAGTGAACCGATAGAATGTGATGGAGGTTTCTTGGGAGTGGCTGTCCAATAGAAATCCAGTGCAAGCCACATTTGTAATTTAAAATTTTTCGGTGGCCACATTAAAGAAGAGTGAAATTCACTAAATTCTACTCCTGAAACCAATACTTTAGTACCTGTTAACTAACTTGAATTTAAATAAGATCTTGGAAGAAAGAAAAAGTAAAATTAGTTTTTTACTGTTTATCTAACACAGTGTATCAAAATGCTGTTTCAACATTAATCAGTATAAAAATTAAGAGATCTTACATTATGTTTTTCATGCCAAGTCTTAAAAACCTGATGTATATTTTATAGCACATCTCAGTTCAGACTAGTCACATTTCAAGTGTTCAGAAGCTACTCCTGGCTAATAGTTACCATATCGAACATCATAACTTTAAAGTATAGGACTTCAGAATACTAAAAAGGTTTAAGTTTGACCGTGATTGGACAAAGGTCTGAATCAGGAGCCTGTAGAACATACTTAAGGTTATTTCATTACATACATCAGTATTTCTCATTTGGAGAACTGGTGGCATTTCAGGTGGGACAGCTCATGTGCTATAGATGCTTAGCATTTCTAGCACACAGCACCATGGGTAGCACAGCAGTCAATATGCCCTTCATATTTCTGAAGAGGAATGGTATCCCAGTGACCTTCAGAGATGAGAAACACAAGTTTGACAGACTTAGGAATGGGAATTAGAATAATACCCAGAGCTGCCTGGCTGGTTCATTTAGTGGAGTGTGTGACTCTTATTCTTGGGGTCCTGAGTTCAAGCCACACCTTGGGTATAGAGATTACTTAAATAACTGAATAAACTTTAAGGAAAGTAACACTGAAAGATTTTAAGGGTGTTTATTGGTCCCATTGAATCACTATTGGGAATTCTTGGTCATTTTGAAGGGACTTGAAACTGTATGTGTATTTGAGCTACCGGTAGCTTATGTAAATTAAAGAGGGAAGGAATTTTGGGGTAGATGGTTTGAAGCACTTGTCCTTCCTTTCCCAGAAATGCCCAGGATTTCATTAAAGATGAACAAATTTTGCCCCTTTCAGCACTGTCTATAACTAAATACCTACTGCTTGTTAGGCAATGGTCAGATATTACTTCATGTGTTCTCTTTAATTATCATAACAGCCTTTAGAAGTATTTTCAGTTTACAGATAAGGAAGTTAGTGAAGTTATTTGCCGAAGATAGTGTAAGCATCTGGCCCTGGTAAGTGCTGGCACAAGGATCCGGTATCAGACTTCTTTGGCCCCGATGCCCAGGCTCTTTTTAAATGATATCATGCTGTCTTTTGGGTGAAAATTGGTTGACGTAGAAGCAGCAATACCAGTATGGTAGGAGAAGAGATAAACCTGTTCTAGCGTTATAGGACCAGCTTGCCTTGCGGTCAGGAGAGATGCTCTCCTGTCCCCCCATGTCTGCTTGCTTGTGTTACAGTGTCAACATGCCTCTTGCTTTTGGGGTCTTAATTTCTTCTGGAATAGTAAGCTCTATGGTTTGTGGGTGTGGGGGAAAGTTACTGTATGAGGTGGGGTTTTTTTTGTTTTTCACTGAAAGAGGAGCTATGAAAGAGTCTTTCCTAGTTTTAGCTCAAATGATTTCGAAATATATTTTGTCTCATTCTCAAGCTCTTTTTGCAGAAGGTTACTTAAATCTAGAGTAAATATTAAATTTTTCCATTATTCTGCTTATTTAAGTCAAGTTATGGCATGTGGTGAAACTATGCCCATCTAAAGACACTTTATTTAAAAAACAAGGTATTTAAAATGAATAGCACATCCGTTAAATAATTTTTCCCAAGTCAGTGAAAGGATTGTAGAAATCATGTCTATGATGTATTTTCAGATGTACTTTAATATAAACTAGTAATACTATATAACCAAAAGAACTTCTGCCACTGGCTGGGAGTGAAGCGGATGCCTGTTCTGGTTTTTCCCATGTAGGTACATTTCATGCTTTGATTCCATAAGCTTATGATGTAGTTGGTAGCTTGGTTTTCCAAAACCCATGCCAGGAATACATAGAACAGCTTTGAGAATGATAACTGTTCGTTCTCCTCTTAATAGGACTCCTGTGATCCAAGTTTAATTAGACTGAGTTACTCAGTTTGGGTTTTTTAAAATTAATATAAAAGTGCATTTTGAGGGGCGCCTGGGTGGCTCAGTTGGTTAAGCCTCCAGTTTTGGCTCAGGTCATGACCTCATGGTTCATGGGTTTGAGCCCCGTGTTGGGCTCTGTGCTGACAGCTCAGAGCCTGGAGCCTGTTTCAGTTTCTGTGTCTCCCTCTCTTGCTGCCCCTCCCCCACTCATGCTCTGTCTCTCTCTGTCTCAAAAATAAATAAACTATTAAAAAAATTTTTTTAAGTGTATTTTGACTAGTAACAGTAGACTTGAATCCATAGTATTGAATAATACACTCCAAATTCCACTTCTGAGTCGTCTTCCTACCATTTGCTTATATTCTAATGATTTTAAGCCTTTACTACCTTTTTTTCTTAATAATTATTACCAATCCTTCAATAATTATATTTCTTCAAAATAAGTAAAGTTTGTGTTAGTAAAGTTAGTGTAAACTGGGGGTGCAGGTTTCATTGTTATTCCTTCCTCAGGATTTGCATAGATGATTTATATGTATGAAATGACATTTTGCCACTTCCAAAGCAGAATTCATATTTGAGTTGTTAAAAGCTTTACTGAGGATAATTTACATGCCAAAAATTCATTCATTGAAAATGTACAATTCAACAAATTTTAGTACATTCATAGACTTGTGCAGCCATTACCACACTCGACTTGTAGAATATTTCCATAATCTCCCCAGATGCCCTTGACCTCATTTGTAGTTAATCCCAAGCCTTAGCCCTAAGGAACCATTGGTCTGCTTTTTGTCTCTAAATGTGTCCTTAGTAGACATTTCATATAAATGGAATCCAATAATATATAGTCTTTTGCATCTGGTTTCTTTCACTCAGCCCATTATTTTTGAGGTTCTTTCATATTGTGGCATGTATTAATTAGTATTGTGTTTCTTTTGTCGCTGAGTAGTATTCTTATGTGTAGATATACCACATTTATTCATCCATTCACAAGTTGATGGACATTTGAATTGTTTTCTGTCTCTGGCTATTAAAATGCTGCTATAAGTAATTGTGTGCATGTTTCTTTGTGGATATATTTTTTCATTTCTCTTGGATAGATTCCTTGGATCAAATTTGTTATCTCTTTTTAAGTTTAGGTTTTTTTCTTTTTTTTCTACGTGTCTTCTTTAAGAAAGCATTGGATTGCCCCCACCCCCCTCATTCTTTTCCTTTTTTTTTCCCCCCTCCATTCTTTGTGCCCAGGGAGCACAATACTTGGGAACCTGAGAAAAATTTGGATTGCCCTGAGCTAATTTCTGAGTTTATGAAAAAGTATAAGAAGATGAAGGAGGGTGAAAATAACAAACCCAGGGAGAAGTCAGAAAGTAACAAGAGGAAATCCAATTTCTCGAACAATGCTGATGATATCAAATCCAAAAAAAAGAGAGAGGTAAGCTTCCTTTCCCCTTTTCCCCACAAACAATTGTTTTGCCACTCGCCCTCTCCTCCTCTCACCCCCCCTCCCCCAGCCTTATCATGGTTGTTTATTTTCTAAGGATGGCCGGCAAGGTAATTTGTTGAACAAAAGAGCTTCCGGGGAGGTATGTTTATTGACTACAGCTCCCCCTCCTGGCTGAGTGAGAAATGTAATACTGTATGTGTTCCACTGAATTGTATTAAGGTGGCAAAATTAAATCCCTATAAAACAGGCAGCCACTCCCTGTCTTCTCCGTAAGTGGGCAGCCAGGTTATCTTAGATGGGGAGGAACTCCACATTTTTAAGTCTTACAAAAAGGGCTTTAAAATGTTTACTACTTCACTTTTTTCCCTTTGTTCCAGTGATAGCACTTATTTCCCACTTTTGTATTCTCTTGCTTTTTTAAATTGAGGAATAATTCCCATAACATACAGTTAACCATTTTAAAGTGTACATACAGTTCAGTGGCGTGGGTAGTCTCTCTTTTGATCCTATTATTTATACATATTCCAAATTAATTTTCATCTTTCTTTTGAACCTTTTTATTATTCAGTTTGGAAAGTATGTTTATCAAATTTTGGTTTGATTCGGTTGCGTTAATCCTTCTGATCTTTGGCTCTCAAATAACTAGTATAAGCACTATTCTTGCCTCTCTTTTTTCATCTATATCTTTTCCATCTGTGTATACACACACACGCGCATACACGCACACTACCCCACCAGCTTCCACTCATTTATTCCAAGGTTATGAAGCCTTTTGTGGTGAAGGATGTATCATACCCTTAACATTTAATAAAATAAAAGCACAAGTCCACTTCTGAATCTTCAGCATCACTGCCATAAGCGGCTCTATTTATCTTCATTCTACTTGGTACCCATTTTTCTAGAACATTAGTTTTCAGCCCTAGCTGCACATTAGAATCACGAGGAGGGGGGGGGGGAGCTTTAAAAAAAAGACCCAGTACCCAAGATGCACCCCAGACCAATTACATTTAGATTTCTGTGGGTTGGGCCCTAGGCATCAGTTTTTTAAGACTTATATGTAAGTGATAGAGAAAATAGGAGATCAGCCTTCCAAAAAGAATTGAAATAAGAGTGAAAGATTGGAAGCTACAAGTGAAAGTGAACTCTGGGTTTGTGTCTGTCTCCTTATTTATTTCCCTGATGAATTTTATTTTTTACAACTTTATTTAAACTATTCTGGTGAGGGGCGTATAGCATTATGATATAGTATACTGATAAGGAATTTGGGAATGCCTTCCCTTCTCTCAGGAGCCAAGACTTGGTTCTTTATTTATTTTTTTTTCTTTTTCCTTTTTCATTAGTCCTTTGTTTTCTGGGTTTTGTCATTTGATTCATTTTCTAGCTAAGTTAAAGAGACCAAACGGCACAGGGTAAGACTTGTGACCAGCCATTTGTGCCGTATAGTTTGTTTTTCCTCAACCTAAGGTTTCTATCCTTTTAAAAAGGAACAAGCGGCTTTGACCTATTGGCCAGCATAGAGCGTTTTCTTCCAAGGCCAGGTTCTGATGCCACTGACCTTGAAAACAACCCCTACACGTCCCTTACATTGTAATGTTCATCTGGGGCCCCTGACAGCATTCTCAGCAGTGCTCCCTGCTGTCAGGTAGGCAGCCAGAAAGATAGGTGATTGTATGTTTTAAAGGTACAGGAGGGGATTGCGTTTCTTTCTTTAGACCACTGCAGAAGAAATTTGTTAGTCGGCATTATGCCTGATTTAAGATTACTGCCTGTGTGATGATTTTAGCATTTTCCTCGCCTCGGCTCCTTTTCAGCAGCTTGAACATTTTTCTTCCCTTCCCTCCCTATGTGGCAAACTGTTTTCAGCCGCCAGCTATGATTTACGACTCCGTTCGTGTGCCAGCATTCCAGCTGTGAGCAGCTGTGTGCACATCTGGGAACCTCCTCCCCTTAAGCGCCCCCAAAAGAGGCTGTGTTTTTGAGTCAGTATCTCCCCTGATCCATGCATGGAATTTCCTTCCCAGTGTGGGTTTTTGTATCTTTGGGGACCACCTGGATCCTGAATACTTTGTATCTCAGAAAAAAGCAGGGAGAATGTCAGATCAAACAGATTTTATTATGAAAATCAGACATCAGAGATTTAGTACATTGGGGCAGTCTTTCTAAATCTTTTTAATGGTGCCACTAGATAAGCTTGCATTATCTTTCCTAACAACGTTTTTAAAATTACCCGGTTTGTCTAAAATTTCACCATTTTGCTCTCAACCAGTGCCATCACCCTTGAATCGGACTCTGTGCTCCTTGTCTTGATTGCGTGGTTGCTTTTTGACCAAATTTGGGTAATCTAGAAACTGATCCGTGTGTCTTAAATCGCTGTCCAGTTCTGTTCTCTAATGAACAGTTCTGTTCTCTCCTTCAGGAGGGGATGGGCACAGACGAGGGCCTCTTCTCCAAGCATGTGGCTCTGGCAGTACGTGAGCTCTGAAAGGAATCTGTGGTTTTATGGTACTGCCGGGAACCATTCTTACTGCTATTCTTTCATACATATAGAGGACTATGTACAAAGTATTAGAAGTGTTGATCAGTGTTAAGGTAAACTAAATGTCTAAAAAATTTTAAGATTAAGAGGTGGTATGTTTGAAGTTTCATTCAGGTAAGCATGGACTTGTTTATCATCTCGGAAGCGGCATTGTATGGGTAGTCAATTCATAATGTGAAGGAGATTTGATTAGAGGGTTAGATCAGTTCCTAGATGATGTTTTCAGAATATCTTAGGGGATATGAAAGAGTTTTGGGGGCTATGTCCTAATCCTGTGAAGGAGTATTGGAAAGACAACTGCATCTTCTGCATCTTCTTACAGGAAACATCTCTCAGCATCACTGTCACTGGCTGGCCCACTGTTGTATTTCTTAAGTTCTAAGAATTCTTTGAATTGGTGACAAAATGAACTTAGGTTGTGCTTTGTTGAGCTGAGAAACGGGGGTGTTTTACTCTTCTCCAAGCTGTAAACTTTCTTTATCTTCTGTTTATAGCAGAGCAATGATATCGCTCGGGGCTTTGAGAGAGGACTGGAACCAGAAAAGATCATTGGGGCGACAGATTCCTGTGGCGATTTAATGTTCCTAATGAAATGGTGAGAGAGATCCTCACTGTACAATTGCATTTCTTTGCCAATGACTTGAGTTTGTACGGAAAATAGGGAAGACCTGAGTATTCCCCAACTAAGAATTTTGATTGTCAAAGATCTTTGGCTGATATCACCTATTAGTATTAATGGGAATTAAGGGTGAGAATGAATTTAAGGCATTCTCAAGCTTTGGTAGTAAGGCAAATTATATTAGCCCCAATACCTAAGGTAGCTTTGAGGTAGGAAACCTATAGACATGACCTAAACATTTATTTACACAGTTCTGAATCATTTACCGTCAGACCATGAGCCTGTGGCCATGAGATAGGAGTTGAGTGAGGCTTTCTGCCATCACTGAGGATCAAAACAACTGAATAGTGTCTACAAGAGAAAAATAATCGCAACAAAAAGCATTAAGACTAATACTAGCCAAAGCATAAGTTATTTCATCCGGTGGAGGGAATGTCTCTTAGAGGAAAGTGTAGTTACTTCCCCTCAATTTGGTTTCTTAAAGACAGGGTGATTTATGGTGTGGCCCTCACTACCTCTCTGTTTCCAAGTGTTCTGGGCTTGTGATTTAAGTTTGGTCTCTAAATAGAGGCTTCATGCCACATTGCCACTGAGGAAGCTAATTTACCTTAAAAGTTGTAGAATCAAACGGTTTAATATTTTATCTGATCGAAATTTTGCTGGTAAATTACCCAGAAGCCTAGATTTGAAGAATCATTATACTCTGTCAGAAGTAAGGGGCTATATTGACTGCTTTTCCCACTCAGCCATATGTGTTACTTATGATTTACATTCACATATTAACTAGCTTTTTTTCCCCACTGCAGTCCAAAGTTGAGTATCTGCTCTGAGTTTTATTTTCCCCTCCTCTTTTCACCCATAATACTTACCCCTATGAATTAAATATCTCTGTTTTCTAGAAAAGGAGGTAGTTGTCTTTGCTCACATCTCAGTGGAATTTTAACTTAAAATATTTTTTTCTCTCAATTTGGAATGGTGGTTAAGGGACTTGCTATGTTTTTTTGTCCCACGTGGTAGTAGAGCCTTTGTAAACTTGGATAACTGAAATTTGCAGTTAATTCCTGCATTTCATTTTAGTGACTAAATTTTACATCCTCCTTTATTCTCCCTTTTATAAGTACTGTTGCTGACTTAAATTTCTGTTTTCTTATTATTCCGATCCATAGTTCTCACCAAAAGGATAATGAGTGTTTAAAAGGCCACAAGATGAGGAAGGTTAAGACCCTTTCACTCAGATGATCCAGAAACTGGGCTGATCAATCTGTGCATAATCAATAGGACTGAATGTAGTTTGATCGTGTGTTCACTCACATGCTCATACACACAAATCAGAATTGTCGGAGCAAAATTTATATATTTCATTTTCAGCCTTTTGATTAACCCTGCTGTTTTCCATCTAAGTTCTAGCTGAAGACTTCTGTTTCTGTCGTAGTAGTTAAATGATACTCCCTGGTAATTTTTATTTACTTGAATTTCTCCTTGAAAATATTGAGCTGTTAGGGCCCTTTCTCACCTTGAAATCAAGATGGGGAGGAAATCAAGTCCGTTAAATCCATATAACAACATAAACCTTGGTTTAGATAGATTCTTTCTCACTCTTACTTCCTCTCCTTCTAAGTCTCATATTCTCTGTCTCCAGGAAAGACACAGATGAAGCAGACCTGGTTCTTGCAAAAGAAGCTAATGTAAAATGTCCACAGATTGTGATAGCATTTTATGAAGAGAGACTGACGTGGCATGCCTATCCTGAGGACGCGGAAAACAAAGAGAAAGAAACAGCAAAGAGCTAAAGGAGGGGGTGGTCTCTGTCATTTCTCTTTGTATATAATACATTCACCTCCCCGCCTCCTCTCCCTTCTGCCCACCCTGTTCTATCCTAAACACATCCATAAAAAATGTGCTTATCACTGTGCTCCACAGGAGAAATGTTGGTATTGGTTCTCTTGTAACATAACTGATGGTCTGATTCATGATAAGTGTCTCTCTGTGAAGACCAGGCATTTACATACTGTGTGTAATTCCCACAATTTTTTCCTTTGCCCTGATCTCTTCCTTCTGCTCCCCTGTGACCTCAAGATGAGTTTTAACTTTTTAATCCTCTTAGAGCCTTGATCTTTTCAGGGTTGGTTGCTTTTTAGATTGGGGGATTTTGTTACAATGGTGATGAATTTTGGTTTCTTGTTTTGGTTCCTAGAACATGTTGATGACCAGCTAGCTTTTGTTTTGAGTTGTTGGGATGGAAAAGATGTTCCCATCTTTTTAAAAAAGCCAATAGCAACTGCCTACCTGTTGGGGCTTTCCCAACCTCATTCAGCTCTACCCAGTAGAATACAGGGTTCCTAGTGTGGTCTTCTGGGCCACCCTCTGTTGTTCATCCCCACTCATCCTCCCAGAATAGCTCCATCCTTTGGAGGACTTGAAGTTTTACACTCAAATTTGTCAAGGCACTCTTAGCTCCGGGACTTTGGGCCTTGTTTCTTAGCAATCCTTGATTCTGCTTCTGCAAGGTGGTGTAGTCTGTCATAAAACGACAATATTAACTGTGGAGTTTTTTAGTTATTAGTACATGAGGATGATGGGTTAGGATTCAGTTGTCTTTATTATCACGTATGGTACATATGTATTATTTCCTTCCATCCCTCACATTTGGACTATATATTTATGTAGGTGTGAGTGACTGCCTGGTGCTTGCTTGTGCCAAGGTGCTAGGCACCCTCCAGCCCTGCCAACTTTTGTGGCCTCCCAAAGCATTCCTGTTACCAAAGAGGCTTCAGACCTGACCCTCACTTCTCCGTGGACCCAAGTTTCCCCTCCGTGCCATTATTTTCAGTGGGGAATTCTTGGAGGGGAGCCATCGGCCACATCAAATTTTAAATATTCATAGTGTTTATAGTCCTAAATTTCCTGCTTTGATGACTCCTGGATTTGCCACCAAGAGTCCCCAAAGTGTTACAGTACTCTTCCCTTTTTCCACCTGCAAACTCTTTGTTGTATCTTATTTTAAACTGCATTTCTGTGGAAGACTATCACCTCAGAGTGACAGGCCCTGGCGTTAGCATGCTGACACAACCTTCTGTCCCTACTCAGCAAAATATTTCCCTTTTGGCTTCCTCCTGCTTTGCCATTATACTGAGATTATTATCATATCTTTCTGCCTTTGTGCCCCCAAGAAATGCCCTACTTCTCTTTAGCCATTTTCTTTCAGTTGAGGTGGGGGGGAGCTAGAGAATCCAGACTAAAAGTAAGGAAATAGCAGGGTTATGAGCATCCATGTCCCAGTCCAGAGCTGAAGAATTAAGAATAAACGCTTGAAATAGCCTTAACTCTAGAGTTCACCAGCCATTGAGGTGGTTTTTGTTGTTGCTTTTGATTTTTAAAACGTATAGCTGTCTGGCCAGGAGCATTCAGCCATTTCTAGATTATTCAGAGTAATCGGGGGAATGGATAGATTGCTCCAGTCCACAGATGAGCTGAATAATATGCAAATCATCTACCCATTCATAGCATTTGTTACCATTGCTTTCCTGCTCAGCTGCTGATTGAATTCTGTGTGCTTGTATAAATTATGTCAAAAATTATACTGCACAGTTGAGAAGACAGCTGTTGCTGCAGTGACATGACAGACTGGAACAATGAAGCTTTTGGTTTAAGTCATCCAGGAAAATCCTTCTGAATGGTAATGTGATTGGGTGAGAACTCCTAACCCATAGCTCAAGTGGGTAGGAGTTTCTTTCTCCATCTTTCTTTACTCTGAAACAATTCAAGGTCTAGATCAACTGCTAGGTAATTGGTTTGTACTTAATCTGATGGGCACCTAAAAGAAAGAAAGGACGGTCAGGAAACAGATTTGTCCTACAAGTAGCCAAGGATGTCAGGGTAGACACGAATAAGACAAAAGTAGGCCAGAGACCCCAGATTGGTCCTGAGAAACCTAGGGCATGTGGTTGCCGTAGTTATAGATAATATTTCAGACATTCATCAAAATCTGATTTTCTTTTAACAAAGGAAGTATCATCTACAACTCATCAGCCCTTTAAAACCTTACTCTTCACTCCATCTTTTCTGTTCATGGTTTATTGAATCATGGTCTTATACTGAGTGCTGCCAGAACGATTTTGTTTTTTCCCTGACTGCCCACAGCTGCTTCTGGAGGAATGTAGGGAGCCAGGGGCCAGTACTGATTTCAGTCCTCAGCAGAAAGGAAACCAGATGCCTGCCTGTGCCCCCCCGGCATTTGTTAGTGCTGAGTAGCTGTGCTGGCCCTTGCAGAATTGCACCCTCAAAGGGAAACCCGTCTTCATGGGGCTTTCTCCTCAGAAGAGTTAGGAGCCATGGGCTAAGCACTCCTAAACATCTAGGTCTCAGGTACTCGAAGTATTTTTTTTCCTGTGTTTAGTCTTTTTTCAAAAGGTCTTTCTAAGACTAAATTTTTCTTCTAGTAATCCATATTCAAGGATCTCCCTTTCCCCAGAAGGTAGCAGAGTCTTGCCCAGCAGAGTTGACCAAGGTCAGGGTAGCTGCTTTTCTGAGCCCTGCTCTGGGCCAATGCCCTCATGTCAGGATTAGCTGTTAGGAACATGGGCCCTGATGGAAGCACCCATTTTTAACCTGGAGAGAGCCATATCGGTTTTCCTCCACAGTTTTCGTCTGCTCAAGGGAGCATTTGAGCCTATGGTGTTCCTTAATGCTCACAAGTCTAGGTGGTCCTTGGCTGTCCCACAGTTGTATGTGTGAACTGCTTTTTATTGAAGGCTATGAAAGATAGTCCTGTTTCCATAGCTTGGGCAGTTAGGTTATTCTTAACTCTTTTCATTCCTGTTCTGTAGCTTGCCTCCTACAGTCAATTTTCTGTCTGTTCAGGCTTTTGGGAAGGTGCTTGGGATTTTCATCTTGTGATTCTAATGCTGGCCGTTGGATCAGCATTTAGTCTAGCTCACTTAAGGTACAGTCAGGGGTCAGAGGGATCTGTCTTGTGTTGGGCTGGGGAGCCATTGTTTTTGCCCTTAGGGTGTGACTTGGAGGGCCTGAAATAACTACTTTGCAGTGATATGAGAACCCCAGGAAGGGTAATGTCATTAGATTTGAAATGTGGAAGTTGTTTCTCACAAATGAGGTCAAAGGAAAAGCTCATTTTGTACCAGCATAAAAATCACACTGTTGCGGTCTATACCTTTGTAATCGAACAGCCAAGGAAACATACCTGTGGCAAGGTGGAGAGAGGAATGGTCTGGATCCAGTGTATTGTAGTTTCATGCTGGCTTTATCACTAATCATAAAAGTTACATTTTCAAAAACAGAGCTATTACCAGCCTTGCATCCAGGAGTATATGCTCAGAAATCAGTGCCCCCTACCCAGTTAATAGAAGTGGATTTGTATTGAATTGTCCGTATTCTAGCCACCGTAGTGTACTTCAGCGTTCGTTTTGTTCAAGCAGTTTCGGCCTTGAGGGTACAGAGTTCAGGAAGATGCAGTCTCTGGCCTTAAAGAACCTTGATGCTGATGTGGGATGAACTGACTGAACAGTTCAGTGTAATAAATACTATAAATGGGGACACATTTCTGATTTGGGGGCAGTAAGAGGGCGACAGTGGATTCATATATGGAAAAGACCTGTGACCTTGGATGAACTGAGCTAACTGGCCGTAGATGGGATACAACGAGGGCTTGTCTTATTCCAGAAGATAAGAATAACTGAAGGTTGGTTAGAAATGCTGTTGCTGAGAGTGAAAACAGGTGAGTGGAGATTGAGAACCCCTCATCTTGATCCCTGTTTTAGGCTCTTTGCCAAAGTATTTAACGGTCTAGTGAATCCTTGTTTGTGGAAAGCATATTAATCTTATGTCGCAGATCCAGTTCAGTGCCCAGTTCGGTGCTGGTGACATATTGTGAGTTCTATAACGTTTATTCCCATCAGAGTTGTTCACACCTTTTTCGTTTTCTCCTCCCTTTTGGAAGAATTAACGTGAGGTTGGCTTTAACCCTAAAATGAGGACATACTTTTCGATGACAAGAGATTTTCCACAGAGAAGGCTTGGGGCACATCTGTAACATGTGAGCATCTGTTCTGTGCAGTATAGTTTTATTCAACACTGCAAGGTGGTGATATCTAAGCAGACTTGTGTCCTTATGTGGAACTCTGTCCTGGAAATGCCCATACCCTGAAGTTTCAGATATACTTAGTCTAGGGAAGTCAGGAGTGAAGCCTAACCCTGTGAAGAACCAGTTTGACTGTCAGAAAATTCTCAGTTCTGGACTGTGTAACCACAAGAAAAAGAGACTTTTCGCTGCCTGGATAACTGAAAGTTGACTGACTTTGGTAGTCAGAATTCCCAGGAATGAAGAGGAACTGTTCTGGAAAATTACAATGTGAAGGTTCTTTGGATAGCTTCATGAAGACAATTCTAATTTCTTTGTGCTTGTGCTGGATTTCTTGAATTTTAAACTACCTCATCTTGTCTTTTTAGAGTGACTTCAACTTGTCATTGCCACTCTAACATCGTGCTTGACTTTGGTGGTTTTCTAACATGGAGCTTTTTCTATGCCTTGACCGCATGTTCTCTTGCCTTTTCGTCCTGATCCTCATTTCATCATCTCATATTGTTCTTCTGTCACAGAAATGTTTTAAAATAGCTTAAAGTCTTGGTTTATGGGAAGTGATCCTCCACTGCTGTTTGTCTCTGGGATCAGTAAGAAAGAGTTAAAGCATGATGTTGGGGGGAGGGGATGGAACCTGCACTGGAGGCAGCTGAGGAGGGAAGAGCCATTAATTAAGACAATTTCAAAGTCAACTGATTGTGATCATTAATGTCACAATAGATCAAAACCTAATTATCACAGCCTAGGTAAGTGCCATCAGTATTAATCGGAAAATCTAATAGGAAACTATTATCAAGAAATTAGGCTAAATTGAATGCAATGAACTTTTTATCTTGCCAGTGTGTTTGTGTGTGTGAGAGAGAGAGCTGCCTGTCCCCTGGCATTGACAAGTGTGACCTCACAGTCGATCCAGGCACCAGTGGCCAGCTCATCACACTTTTGGAGGAATTCCCAACAGACTGAACCTGAACTGTCATTGTCATTTTAATCAGTCTTGAATGTTACCATCATCTGGGATTGTCCAGTGTTGATCACCAATTAGTGAAAAAAGGTGTATATTTAGATCTTGGAATGGTCGGTCCTTCCTGGCACTAGAGTAACCCTGGTGGACATCAGACCATGTGTGTTGGCAAATCATTCTTTGGGCTTCTGACATATGTTAGGTCCAGCTGCTCTGGCTACTATGAGGGGGTACAGAGGAAAAGAGGCTTCCTGCCTGGAGAGTCTTCAAGGAGACCCGAGAAGATAGAGTTTAATCGTGTCACAGCACTTTTAAGGCTCAAGTCAGTGTTCTGCAGTTTCCAGTAGCTTTAGGATTTGATTCTAAGCTAGGGCTGACTGTGGGTTTTGTTTTTTTCCCCCCCTAGTTTTAGGGCAAGGGTTAGGGCAAGGGTCATAATCATGACTACTGGAGTCGTCGTAAGTCCAAAGGGGGAGGGGGGGGTGTTTTTCCCTTTAGCTTTCTGTTGTCAAAAAGTTATGCCCCTGTCAGGTACTTCAAGAATATTACAAGTCTTACAAGTAGTTCTAGAGAACACTTCATCCCCTCTTCTGAACAGAAAACTAGGTTTCGCCATTCATATCCTTAATTTCGAGAGCCATTCATGAAGATCCTGCAACTCCTGAAGTTGCGCTGGGACAGAAAGTTGGAAAGATGCAGCCTTGTGGGCACTGAGGGGAAGGACAAGCAGCCGCCGAAGGACTGCCGCCTCGTGGCTCGGCCTGTAGGGAAGGCTGCTGCTGCGGGCACTGCTACTGCTAGTTTTGCCCCCTTCCCTCCACCCCTCCTAACCTTGTAGCTCCAAGCATGACCAAGATCACCGCTAGGGACGAGGGTCTTGCTTAAAACGAGGTTTTGTTCTTGAATTTCAGGATTTAGGAATAGGGGTTCTCACACAACTCTGGGAAATCAGCATGACTTAGTCCTTCACCTCTTATGATAAAGTGAATATTTTGTTACAAAAGAATTCATGCCCTTACTGCTTGAAATGTAATTTTATTTGCAAAATATCCATTAACACATGACTTTTAGAAGCAGTTTGTATCTCCAAGCTTCCTTGCGTTATGCCAGCTAATAGGCCCTCTGCTAATACTTGGGGGTTGATGGAGATCATCTAGTTTGCGGTGTAAGGTGTACCTGCTGACTTCTTTTGCTCGCTAGTGCACCCTAAGAAGTAAAATGCCCTGGGGAGTGGAACAAGAATTGAGTGGATGCTGACTATGTGTGCCAACCTTCTCAACTGATTCATAATGGCTGACCTTGGGCAAGTCACTCCTTTCAATGCCTCAGTTCCCCATCTGTCAAATGGGGTTAATGATACTGACCTACCTCACAGGGGTGTTGTGAGGCATTGTAAATCAAAGTTGGTAGAGTACCTTAGGGTCCTCGATGGAGGATGCCTTGAGCCGAAGTCCAATGTCTAGGCCTGACACAGGCTTTAGTCCTCACTGAGCTGTCCCAAGGTTGGAACTGCTAGTGACCTCGGCAAGTTCTCTGCCCCCCACCCCTCATCAAAGCTGCTAGTTCAGATGTTGACAGTGTTTTTGTGAATGTTGGAGTCTTCATAGTCCAGACTTAGGATGTTATGGGGGAAGGCACTTAGTATTTTCTATGTCTTGCATCCACAAAGAGAGGCTGTTTCAGACCCAAGAGCATTGGATTAGGGAACCATGAGGCAGGGACACTATTGCTTGTTTCTCTCTGCAGGTTGTGTATTAAGGTCTTGTTCCCCATGGGATTGGAGCAGACTCCAGCTGTCTCAGGAGCAAAGTGTACACAGTGGGCTGAATTTATAGCGTTGATTTTATTGCCCCCTGAATTGAATCACTGCACCCCTTGCCTCCCCATAGGAACCAGCCGGTTCAAAAAACATAACCACTTTCTCCATCCCCTACCAAAAAAGAGCCACTTTGGGAAAATTTTTGTGTAGAGATCACATTTAACACTCAGAATTAGGCAGTGATACTCCTTAGAGCTTCATCCAATTTACTCGTTTTGTCGTCTTTTTCTCAGTGTCCACAGTCTGAATCTGACCTTGACCTCTTTTTCCTCTGGTTTGGGAAAACTTTGGACACTATTTCTATTTGCCCAGATGTGGGCTCAGCCAGCTCCTCTTCCCAACAGGGCTCTTTCTCCTTTCCCCCTCCTTGGCCCTAGACGTGTAACCCACGGAAAAGCACAAGGTCCTGGCCCCTTGCTGCGGTCACATTCCGGTGCTCCGTGCTCTGCGGACTCTTCATTCCGCGCTTGCGGCACCAGGTGGTTCTGTGGAGTTTTGGAGGATGGAGAGTGCAGTCTGACCTCCTGCCAAGTAGCCAGGAGTTGACTCACTTGTGGCCCAGCAGCCCCTGCCCTTTCTCACAGGATGGGATCTGAGAGACTCGAGGCTGGGCTTCTCTCCACACTCTGTCCCATCCTGAGTAGCAAAACACATCACACTTGGTAGCCGGATTTCTAAGCGGAAAAAATGGGAAATTGAATTCTCTATGGATCTTTTTGGTTTGTGGGGGAGTTTTGGTTGTGTTTCTTGGTTTTAGTTCAGCCAAACATGTCTGCTTTTCTTTTTTTTTTTTCTTTTTTTATTTTTTTAGGATAAGTGATATATATATATGTTCGCCTTTTAAATGTAAATGTTTAAAAGTAGGCAATTTATGTGTTTCCACAACTGACATTGATGCAGACCTCATTCTCTCCCCCTCTTCCACCCTCCTCTTTTCCCTCTTTTCATACTCTTGTATTGGTTCTAATAAATGGTTGCTTTTCAAATATGGATCCTGCGTGGTGGTTTGAAGATGTGGGTCTGACACCCTTCCTTAACTGGAGCCCTGGAATGTCAACTAGGTGTCACAGATGCCTTTCTGAAAGAGCGGGGAGACTTCAGAACAAGGGCTCTTTTCCTAAGGATTGTTGGCCTCATTGACTTTCTGCAAATCGCCACAGGGTGGCGCAAGCCCAAGGGAGTAAGAGACCATACATGCACTGTTCCCTACTCTATTCCCTTAACCTGTTCACACTGCCTTCCTGCCTTCACCTGTTCACACTGCCTGCCTTCAGCTCTACTGCCAGTGGCCCAGAGAGTAAACACTAGCCTTCAGCATCCCAGGGACCCCCCCAGAAGAATCACCTCCTGGTTATTAAAATTTGTGGAAAACCACACTGACAATCTAAATCGGGCTTGAAACTCCCAATATATGTGAGCTTGTAAATACAGCTATTTTATTATCTTTTCTGATTTGCTTCACAAGAACCAAAGAAACCATTTCTTTAAGGACCTGATTGTGGGTCAGGAACGTGGGGCTGGAGGGGGGCGTAGCAACTGGAAGTTGGATTCGGAGGAAAATCCATTAAATGATGGTTTATAATGATTAGTTAATAAAAGCCTGATGCACTTTTCAGTCCAATGGAGACAGGCAGAAACCCTCCCAGAAGCGGAGTGAGGAAGGCAGAGGGGTCCCAGAAGCCAGACCTCCTCCCACTGAGATGTAACACCCCCGAAGGCTGAGTCCTCATTTCCACATCTCTTATCTGCAATTCTTCCCTCTCGTTTTCCCTTCTTGCTGCTGAGTTATAGGGTCTCCCCAGTCTAATCTCGTAAAGTCTTATGAAGACATCTGTAGGTTGGCTGGTTTAATGGTCCATGACCCCATAAACATGGGACAGGAGAGCCATTTGGTCCACTTCAGAGCCAGCCCCTTCTGGACATTATTTATTTCCCACCTCCGAAGCCTGGGACTGCTTGCCCGCTTCCTTTCCCTTTCGTAGCAGCTCTCTTCCCCCTCACGCCACTTTGTCTCTGCCTGGGGCCTGCGGAAGGCGCGGCTCCAGGGTTTTGACGCCGGCACCGCCACCTCTAAACAACTGCGTCTTGGTTTTTGTTTCCCTCCAGTGTGTCAGGGGGTGCGCCCGCATGGCACTCATTCAGATGAGCTCATCATTGCTCATAACTCTTCTCCCAGGAATGTTGCCTCAGTGTGCCGGGCAAGCCCGGAGCCGGGCTGTTTTTTGCCTCCCCTTTTGTCTCCACTAAAGAGCTGTGGAGCTCGTGAGATCGATGCCGATGCGGCACTGACAGCCTGGGGATAATGGAGGACCGAGTGTGGGGCTCTGTGCTTAGGTGGGTTGCTGAGTGCTCGTGCTCTGTTAGGGGCAGCAGCCCCCTGGCAGCCTCTACGTCTGGAAGGGAGCGAGAGCCCTGGTGTCGACGGCTGGTGCACACGAGCACATGCCAGGGGAACCCAGTACATCCTGAGGCCGCACCAAGCTGCTACCCAAGTGACCTGTGGAGGGGGGCGGGGGCACAAGGCATAAGCTGGGGCCAGCAGGGGAGCTGAGCACACCACCCAGGCCCTGGGGACAATGCAACTCTAGCAGAGATGCGGAAGGTAAAGCCCGAGTGAGAAACCCCTTGAACCCTCCTGCTTAAAGTTGGGGACAGGCTGCAGCCACATGAGGGAAAAGGTCTGGTCCTCGGGTCCTTGGCTCCTCGGCCTTTGTTCCCTCCTCCCCTGCCTCTGCTCTCCTGCTTCCCCCACCCCCTCTGCAGCTGTAACATCTTGCTTTCCAGGTGCCGGCTCCCTCCTCTCTCAGCTTCTGTCTTTATTTGTGTGTCTGTATTTTTTATGGTCTCTCCCCTTTGTCTACTGTATCGGGTGTGTTTTTCCCTTTCTTTGTCTTTTTTCTTCTCATTTCTGGTCTCCCCGCCCCACGTTCTCCCCACCCCATTTAAATTTCATAAGCAGCCTCAATTTGGACATTTAATTTCAACCCCATCAAATTATTATCTTTCTTGCAACAATCTGGGACTCTTTATGAGCTCTTTCTACCCCATGCCACCTCTGGAAACAGGTGCATCTCTTTCTGCATATAATGTGATGCTCCCTCCCAGATGGGGAGAGGCGATACCTCACGCCTTTTCTCAGAAAAGCCTTGTGTGATCATTTGGTTGTGAGCCAGGGAGAGAGGAAGAGGGGCTGAGGATTGAGCTGGCTTATACATTTGGGGGCTGCTGAGATGAAAAGCTTTGGGGTTATCACTGCACCCCTTCCTTTCTTCCTCCTTTTCGCCGCTGCTGCTTGCTGGGGGAGGAGGCTGGTGGTGAGCTGCTGGCTGCAGTGAGAAAATTCGACTTCTAGGTCTGCAGCGAGGGAGGGGGTGGGGAGGGGCAGGTGAGGGCTGCGGCTCTGGAGAGGACAGGTGACCCGAAGCCCTTGCGGATGCTGTGTGCCCCCAGGACCGAGCGCGAGCGCGCCTGCGATTTCCCACACCTTGCAGCACCTCTCTGCCGCCTGTTCCCCCTGACTCCCCTGCCCACCACTGGCACCTTCTGCTGCCTTATGTTTCACCTCCCAGAGACCTGGGCCCGGCTGCGCCTTTGTCCTCTGTCGTATGCCCCACCCCCCTCTAGTTCCTGCCTTACTGTTCCAGTCTTACCTGCACAAGGACCCGGGAGGTCGAGGGGGCAGAGCCTCCATGATGCTCCCAGGAGAGAGCAAGGCTGGCGTTGCTTCTCAAAGGTGTTGCGGGGGATGGAGGAAACCTCTCCTGCTTTGAGACCAGGACACAGAGGATGCCCCTTGTTCCCATCTTCTCTCTGCCCTTCTTCCTTCTTCTGTTCATTGCCCTTTCTCAGTTCCTGTTTTTCCCTTTTTATCATCTCGGTTCCTATTTCCCTCTCCCTTTCCCTCCCCACCCCCCATCCACATATCTAGGAATACACAGCTAATGAGAAAGCTCCCAGGAAGGAATTGGGAGGGAAAGTACAGGCTTTTTTCCCCCTTCTCCCCTTTGGAGGTGTGGGGAAAGGGAGTCTTCTTGGAGATTGAAGCTATCTCTCCATCTTCAACCCTCCTGATTTCTCAGCAATGATGTCTAAAACAGGGACGCTTCACCTTGAAAAGCAGTTCCTATTTTTAATTGGGTTCTTCATGATTTTGTACGTGACAGAGACCCTTGTCATTCCCACAAAAACAGAGTCCATTCTCTGTGTGGTATTTTTCTGCTAAAAATTTTAAGATAATCACTTGACGATTTCATAAGCGTCCTCAAGGCGATTGGAGACTAGGGTGCTGTGGTCCAGCTAAACCAATTGGATCCTTACTTCTGTCTGAATTTTTGGCTGCCTTTCTGCATAGGAATATAGCCTTCCTTCTTTAGAGGTTTCTTGTTGCCCTGTTCACCAACCTCAGGGATCATGGGAGCAGGTAGAAACCATTTCCCTGATTCTCGCCTCCACCCCTAACAGACAGGCCGAGCCTGCGGATAGAGGGAAGTGAGGAATTGTGATTGGGTGTCTTATCCCCACCTTCCTTTTTTCACTCAAAGCAGAGAAGAGGGTTTCCGGTTGGGATTAAGGAGCTGGGTCAAGAGTGGCCAGGGACAGCACTGCTTGGATAGAGGACATGGAAGACAGAGAGGAGGTACCAGGTTGTCCCTGTGAGAGGCTGGGAGAGTAGGATGAAATGAGGAAGGATGGGGGGTGAGAGGCTCGGAAGAACGGACACTGTGCAGGGCACGTGTGTTCCAGAACCCAGGTGCGAGGAATGTGGAAGCGCACAGAGGGGCCTGTAGGGCCGTGTCCTCTGCTCCAGGCAGAATGTCTTCTCCACCCAGACACAGACGGCTGGCACTTCACTTCTGAAGAGCTCTGGGCCATGAATCAACTCCGCATTTACTCTCATGTGTTCTTAGAAGAGCCTTTGCTCTGGACTGGATGAAAGTCTAAGATATATTTTGATTGCTTCAGGAGGCCCTTTGGCAGCACCCTGAACGGCTTTAATTTCTGCCCTGGGGTGGAGGGGTGGGGGAGGGGAGGGCCTGGAATCTTGACATTTCCTTCCCTCAATCCCCAATCCTGCTTCAGGTGGTCTCCGGGAAGCCTATGAGGGGAAGGTGTATGGGGGAGGGGAGATTGGGAGTTGGCGGTACTCATTGGCTGCAGAGGTAGTACCCTAACGGGCCTTAGAAATTCCTCAGAACTGGGGCGCCCGGGTGGCTTAGTCGGTTAAGCGTCCGACTTTCACTCGGGTCATGATCTCGCGGTTCGTGGGTTCGAGCCCCGCGTCGGGCTCTGTGCTGACTGCCAGCTCAGAGCCTGGAGCCTGTTTCAGTCTGTGACTCCCTCTCTCTCTGACCCTCCCCTGCTCACACTGTCTCTCTCTCTCCTAGAAATAAATAAAAAATATTAAAAAAAAAAAAAAAGAAAGAAATTCCTCAGAACTGAATCGCTGTTGCTGCCTCCGCAGAAGAGATGGGGCACACAGATCCCCCTTCCTCCCAAAGAAATGGCAGGTCTGCGCAGATATGAGAATTTGAGACATACATGGCACTCATGTGAATCTGTGAAACCCCACTGAGTCCAAGTGGAATCTAATGGAGGGGAAGCAATGGCCTCAGTAATTCAAGGTAGCAGATAATCCTCAAATCATTTATGAATATGATTGCAAGGTGCTTTGGATTGCACACCCAGGACAGGCCTTGGAAGGGGCTCTGTGGCCTCCTCTGGGCCAAGAGGAAGAAAATCATTAATGGAGGCAAACAAAAGCTGCTCTCAGCTCTGCACCAGGACGGCCATACAAATCAGAAGCAGAAAATTGCAGGCCACGTGTCTGTTCAGGTGGAAAGGCAGGGAGGCCAGAGAGGGCCTCGGGGGCAGCCTGTTATCAGAAGGCCAGTGAGCATGTTGAAGGCCAAACACACTAGAACGGCAGGATAAAGTGTGGATTGAGGGAGGCTAGGAAGCGGCAGAAGCTCACAACTGACCTCACTCCAGAA